TGACTAGGGTGGCTGGAGTCTTTGATCATTTTTAGGCAGTGAACAAGATCAGGACAAAGGACGCAAGTTAGAACCAGGGCTGTGTTCAATATGTTTTTACGTTCTGGTCCGTTCAATTGAACGGAAACGGTGCTGTACTGAACGACCAGTTGAAAAACGGGGAGGGGTTGGGGAACACTGTCTGCATGGCCACTGCCCTTTAAATATGTCACTCATTGCTTCAAGCCACACCTCGCCACACCCACCAAACGGAAGCAAACATACCTCAAAGTCTTTTCAAGAATATTCAAGAAGGATTTGGGGAAACGTGTCTTCAGTACAAACCGTTCCGCAACGTAGCAAACATTAAAGCGAACTAAACGCACCACGGGTGTAAATGGGGCTAAAGTAACCAATCCACAATCCATTTCATCCAAATCAGTTCACAGTCATGCAACCAGTTTTAAATAATTAGCTTTTATTGATTTGAAACAATTACAATTAAGCACAGTCAGAAGGATTAACCAAAAATAAACACATAATGTGATTGAATCAAGATATTTAAACAAGTATCAGAGAAATGAGGTCACATAATTACATATGTCCAGATCACACAGTGCAAGGCAGTAAATGTCTGCTCCCCTTAAAGGGGCAATCAGCAGTAAAAAGCTGAGGGAGGGGCTGGAGAAATTGTTACCACTCTCAGATTCATAGACAGTGCTATGGATGCAAGGACTGGCCATCCATGATATGAAAATAAAAGTTTTAACCACGTTTTGAGGCTATGCAGTGTTTGTTTACATTCGTTGGCCTAAAGCAAGCTTATTTTGGGGTCTTTGATGGGGTACGACAGTGGAACTAAGCTCACAAGGCATTTATAAGTTATATTCTTCAAGAATCAATGGGTACATATCATTATTTTATAAGACCAAAAATGGATGTAGCAACTGCAGATTGCTCTTTAACATAATAGAGAAAAGTTCAGCAAGGGGATATAGAGTGTTGGGCCAGGGGCCAGGGGCCAGGGGCGACCAGGGGCCAGGGGGGGCCAGTGGCCAGGGCCCAAACATAAAGTATTTATTGGGGAGTGGGAGAGCAAGTCAGTGAAAGACTGAATATCAAATCCCAAACCAGTAAGAGCATTGCAGAGGCAACTTTTATTGGGAAAATACACATTCAATGTGTAGAAATAGTTGTGGTGATTGTCTTCTGGTATGGATAAGCTGTAAATTGTTATTTTCTCTCAGGCAAAGTTTAAGTCCATTTTAGTAGAGGTCCTTGCCACGTCATTAAGGTACTATATTCTAAGAACCCTTACCCACTCAACGGCACAGGTGTGAAAACACACACACGCACATGCGCGCACACACACGTGCCTTAACTTATAACATTAACATTGAAAGTGTGTTATGTGTTTCATGGCTGCATCAAAAACGTTAACCATTAATTAATGAGTAAGATTTCATGTCACATACATTCATTACAGACTGTATAGTATATACATTTCTCAAGTTAATTTATCACTTACATTGAGCATGTATCTACAGAGAGAGAGAGCGAGTGAGAGAGAGAGAGAGAGAGCGAGAGAAAGAGAGAGCGAGAGAATGAGAGAGAAAGAGAGCATGATAAAAATGTTCAGAATGCCTCCAATGACATTCAGTATTCAGTTCCACTTTCAATTTACAGTAGTCAACATCGTATTTGTACATATCGTAGCTGTCTATTCAGAAGGATTCTCTCTTAATAGCTTTTCGTCACCTGGATGAGTGTGTGTCATTGTCCTCAGTGTGTGTGAGTGTTGGTTTGTGTGCAGCCACAGCCAGGAAGTGGCGAGGGCGTAGGTGTACTACTCAGCATACCTCTTTCATTACAAGCCTTACCAAAACTCCCTGTCGTGTCCCACACATACACACTGTTTACATGTGTATGCGTGTGTCCGTGCACATCTGCATGTGCCCTTTGACCTTTCTGTGGATCTGACTTCATAACAAGGGGGTAGTGTGCACATTTATACAGTGGCTTGCGAAGGCATTTTTCCTATTTTGTTGCCTTACAACCTGGAATTAAAATGGATTTTTGGGGGGTTTGTATCATTTGATTTACACAACATGCCTACCACTTTGAAGATGCAAAATATTTTTTTTTGTAAAACAAACAAGAAATAAGACAAAAAAACAGTAAACTTAAGCGTGCATAACTATTCACCCCTCCAGAAGTCAATACTTTGTAGAGCCACCTTTTGCAGCAATTACAGCTGCAAGTCTCTTGGGGTATGTCTCTATAAGCTAGGCCATTCCAAGACATTTAAATGTTTCCCCTTAAACCACTCAAGTGTTGCTTTAGCAGTATGCTTAGGGTCATTGTCCTGCTGGAAGGTGAACCTCCGTCCCAGTCTCAAATCTCTGGAAGACTGAAACAGGTTTCCCTCAAGAATTTCCCTGTATTTAGCGCCATCCATCATTCCTTCAATTCTGACCAGTTTCCCAGTCCCATCCGATGAAAAACATCCCCACAGCATGATGCTGCCACCACCATGCTTCACTGTGGGGATGATGTTCTTGGGGTGATGAGAGATGTTGGGTTTCCGCCAGACATAGCGTTTTCCTTGATGGCCAAAAACCTCAATTTTAGTCTCATCTGACCAGAGTACCTTCTTCAATATGTTTGGGGAGTCTCCCACATGGCTTTTGGCGAACACCAAACGTGTTTGCTTATTTTTTTCTTTAAGCAATGGCTTTTTTCTGTAAAGCCCAGCTCTGTGGAGTGTACTGCTTAAAGTGGTCCTATGGACAGATTCTCCAATCTCCGCTGTGGAGCTTTGCAGCTCCTTCAGTGTTATCTGTGGTCTCTTTGTTGCCTCTCTGATTAATGCCCTCCTTGCCTGGTCTGTGAGTTTTGGTGGGCGGCCCTCCATTTTTTAATAATGGATTTAATGGTGCTCCGTGGGATGTTCAAAGTTTCGGATATTTTTTTATAACCCAACCCTGATCTGTAATTCTCCACAACTCTGTCCCTGACCTGTTTGGAGAGCTCCTTGGTCTTCATGGTGCCGCTTGCTTTGATGGTGCCCCTTGCTTAGTGGTGTTGCAGACTCTGGGGCCTTTCAGAACAGGTGACAGATAATGTGACACTTAGATTGCACACAGGTGGACTTTATTTAAATAATTATGTGACTTCTGAAGGTAATTGTTTGCACCAGATCTTATTTAGGGGCTTCATAGCAAAGGGGGTGAATACATATGCATGCAACACTTTTCCGTTATATATTTCTTAGAATGTTTTGAAACAAGTAATTTTCTTCATTTCATTTCATTAATTTGGATTATTTTGCGTATGTCCATTACATGAAATCCAAATAAAAATCAATTTAATTACAGGTTGTAATGCAACAAAATAGGAAAACGCCAAGGAGGATGAATACTTTTGCAAGGCACTGTAGCAGGGTCCTTGATGACAAATGGGAAACTACAGTGCAAGTCACCTCTGTTGAGAATGAAATTACTTTCTCTCCGCCCTCCCTCCCTCCCTCCCTCCCTCCCTCCCTCCCTCCCCTCCCCTCTCTCTCTCCTTTTTCCTTGTCCCTATCCTCAGCTCTCTACCCTATTCACTATTGCACTGATACACACCAAGTCTGTGACAGCTATATTTCTATTAGAATATCTCCCTGTGCTTTTCAAATTTTTATATTTCTTTAGGAAACACAAAGATCAGAATTTAAAAGCAACCACAAGAGAAAATGTGACTTATGAAATGTTTAAAATACAGACTCATCCGAAGTAAAGTAGAAGAAAAAACATTGTAAATGGAGAATTGTCAGCGTAGAATATAAATATTTGTCTATATTACAGGGGTCTGAGTTTGTAAGGCTATGTGAGCAGAGAGGACACAGTAGTAAGGTTCAGATAGACTGCTCGTGGTAGACACACATTGGGAACGTTTTTTCTTCTCTCTCTAAAAAAGCGCTGTCAATGTCAATAGGGCGGCAGGTAGCTTAGTGGTTAAGAGCGTTGTGCCAGTAACCGAAAGGTCGCTGGTTCTAATCCCCGAACCGACTAGGTGAAAGATCTGTCGATGTGCCCTTGAGCAAGGCACTTAACCCTAATTGCTCCTGTAAGTCGCTCTGGATAAGAGCGTCTGCTAAATGACTAATTATTATTATTATTATTATAATGTGGTCATGTCAACCTAGCTAGTAGCATTAGCCTCTATGCTACATTAGCATACAGCTAAAATGTAGTATTCCTCTTTAGGATCCCTTCAGGTAGGTTATAACTAGCTGAAATGTCTGTCTTTAGTTGTTTAGTGATTGTCATTAGTTAATTAACTGTGATATTACATAGTGAATTAACCAGTATGATGTATAATTAAAAGTTAATTAACAAGTAACTAATTAGCATGTCTTTAGCATAAGAGCATTTTAAGAACTTGATATGGAATTATTCAGAATGAATCAGTTCCCTGTGTTGAAATCAACAGTGAATCAAGTTGAGAGTTCATGGCATCTCTATCAATGACTCTATGGGATGAATTCAACGAAATGTCTCACCTTCGCCAATCTCAGTGCATCTCTGTACAACAATTCAAGTGCATCATTGCCTGAATATGAACTGCAGATGAATCAGGTCTCTGACAATCGATTCCTTGAATGACTCCTAGAATGACTACGTCCTGCACAGTGAATCATTTGAATCGTCTTCAAATGTAAATCATATTTCAATCTCTGGAGGGTGAGTGAATCAACTCAGTGCATCTCTCTACCACCGAATCAACTCTTGGTGGTGAATTTAATGAATCCAGTCCAGGTTTTGGGCATACTGTAGTTAGATTTGAAGTCTGGAACGGCTGAGACCGAGACCTCAGTAAGTAAGTGGCGCTTTGGGGCAAGAAGGGTGATCTCTCTCTCTCTCTCGTTTTCCTCGGCCTTTCTCACACTCTATCTCTCTAACATGCGGACACCCACACACACCTGCTCTCTTCCCTCTTGTCAAAAACACTAACACACACGCAAACGTGTGCCCTCCTCACGCACACGCCCTCTTGGCGTGCAGCATCTCGATGAGCAGGTTGTTGCAAGGCACCTCTCCGCTCAGATGCTTGTAACAAAGGTAGTCCTCGGCCTGCGCCGACAAGGCCTTGAGCTCAGGCAGGCGCATCAGCAGCTGGCTGAACTTGTCCAGGTACTGGGGGTAAGCACACATTGTGTACTCCAGCAGAGCCCCGTTCACCTGCTCCTGGACGCCCTCCACGAACGCCTGGTTCTCCAGTAGCTTCACATCTGAGGGGAGAAGAGAGTGTGTTTTTAGTGGTGTTTTTTTTTCCCTAAATGCACTATTTGTAACTTTAATTTCCAGTCCAAAGTGCTGCTCTTGAACGTGTTTGAAAATGACATATAGTGACTTGACGTGGCATGTGGAAGCATGACTAACAGCGCCCATCAACCCCCCACACAAAAACACTTGTCTTTTCCTATTACCCCTGACTTTCTGATAACTACTTTGTTGAGGGAAAATGTAGTTGCTACGACTGTGATATGTTGTTTTCTCACCTAGCAATCTTAAGATGAATATGTATATCAGGCTTACTAGGACTTTAGATATCAAATAAGAAATACAACATGTTCTACATGCTGTCAAGGGGCATGTCTGGATGACAGTATGTAGAGGTTCCTTAGAAACATTGGAGCCTTTGATTGAATCCTAGCCATTATCTTATTGAAAACATGGATCCAACTGTGCATGTCTGTCTGTCACAGTATTTCTTTGTTTCTGTGTATGCTCGAGATTATCTCAAGCATTTCCACGACTATGTGCACCCAGCACAAGGATATGTTGTACTATAGAGATCAAATCAAATCAAATGTAATTTGTCACATACACGTGTTTAGCAGATGTTATTGCGGGTGAAATGCTAGCTAACATAAGTCTGTTTACGTGGGCTGTTATGTATAGAAGCACATATGAGCTCCAGCACTAGCTTGGCTAAGAGAGGGACAACAGCTTGCCATCTTCCCAGATGAGGCTCCTTTCCTGGGGTTCAGCACGAGAGCACCGACGGGGGAGCCCCTCACAATTGAATCAAACGTTGTCGATAATATTTTCAATACGGCTCAAAGGTGAAGTGAAAATTGCCCCTACAAATATGACCGAATTGCCTGAGGAAGAAAGAGACGAACAAATGACGACAGACTGAGAGAGAGATGAGGAGAGAGTGAGCGAGCGAGGGAGATGGAGAGACAGAAAGAGGGAGGCAGAAAACAGAACCCACACAAAGATCCACACTCCGCGCAAACGCCAGGGCCCTCTCAAGCACTCTCATTATTAAAAGCAGCTTTTGTTCACAGTGGGCTAGCTCTAAATTGCTACCGCTTAGGGGAATGTAGATGATAAAAGGCCATTTTCCCATCTACCGAGCACGGCGGATTCTGGCCGAGTGTCTGTCTGGAGAAAAAGCGATGTGGGGGTCAATCCATTAAGCCTTCATTGAGCGCAGTGCGCAACAAGGGCGACGCTCGTTGCCTTTGTAAACATAGCCTATTCAGAGCGGCCTAATTCGAATTAAGCCCATAACCTGTGCAAAGCGCCACTCCATTTAGACTAATCATTTAGCCTCTTAGAGCCATAAAGGGGACAAACTGCCAATATGCTCAAATCCCCTAAATATATACCGCCATATCAGCGCGCCATCCTGCTTTTGACAAATTAATTGCTTTGGATCAAACTCAAATTGAAGGAATTGCCAGTTATGTTTTAAAATGTGATAAATTAGGTAAGGTTGAGAAGCCATTGTGGGGCATTTCATTTACAACACTAATAACTTTCAATCTCATTTAAGCACATGATTATTTGATTTCACTAATTCTCCAACAGTGCTCAATAAATACACCTTCTGTAATTCAATTACACCTAACAATTGTACCAAATGAGAGTTTAAAAAATATTGTATGAATTTTACATTTAATAGACCCTTTTCCAGTACACGACACACTGACGTCACGCAGATGCGCGCGACTCTTGGCGGCAGTAAGAAAGCCATCGCCATCTGCGCCCATTCAACATAGCCTAGATTTCCATTATTATTACTTCTAAACAAAAAAACTTTGGGATTCTCATACGCTTACAATGATGTTTTGATTCTTGCTTGAACAGTCGTTAAGATTATATTTGGTTGTGAGCAGTTAGAATGGTTGCAGCAGTTAGAATGCTAACGCTCACTGATATAGGCTGTAGCAAAAGCTAGCCAAAGAGCCATTTTACTGATTGAAGTATAAGTGTTTTTTTAAGTATAATGCAGTTGATTTGCGAACATGACAAACATTATATTAAGCAGGACATTGATACGAGCCTTAAAATCCAATTATAATCCAAAAGTAGTGTGAAATGCACTCATAAGCAACATGTAAATAGAGGCCGTTTTTGCGCCGTTCTATAAGAACTTCCCCTTGTTCTGCCACCAACTTGCACGCATCGCCATCGTGCGGCAATGTTTGCAAATGCAGAAAATGACTGTGCCAAGAGACATACAGTTAACAAGAACCACCATGGGAATCCCTATAGCTTCTCAGAGAACTGCTTATTATTGCTTCAAAGTATATTGAAACTTTGTGAAGATGCACTTTAAATCAGGTTGGACTTGACATGACTTCACTTATTGGTCCACGGATGGTGAATATCAAGTTAATATTTTCAATGCCTTCAGAAAGTATTCAGACCTCTTGACTTTTCCCACATTTTGCTGTGTTACAGCCTGAATTTTAAATGGATTGAGATTTTTTGTCACTGGCCTACACACAATAAAATAACCCACAATGTCAAAGTGGAATTGTGTTTTTCGAATAGTTTTTTTAATTAATTAAAAATGAAAAGCTGAAATGTCTGGGGTCAATAAGTATTCAACCCCTTTGTTATGGCTAAATAAGTTCAGGAGTCCAAGTGTGCTTAACAAGTGACATATTAGGTTGCATGTACTCACTCTGTGTGCAATAATAGTGTTTCACGTGATTTATGAATGACTATCTCATCTCTGTACCCCACACATACAATTATCTGTAAGGTCCCTCAGTAGAGCAGTGAATTTCAAACAGAGATTCAACCACAACGACCAGGGAGGTTTTTCCAATGCCTCGCAAAGAAGGGCACCTATTGGTAGATGGGTCAAAATAAAAAAAAAGCAGGCATTGAATATCCCTTTGAGCATCAGGAAGGTATTAATTACACTTTGGATGGTGTATCAATACACCCAGTCACTACAAAGATACCGGCATCCTTCCTAACTCAGTTGCCAGAGAGACAAGAAACCGCTCAGGGATTTCACCATGAGGCCAATGGTGACATTAAAACAGTTACAGAGTTTAATGGCAGTGATAGGAGAAAACTGAGGATGGATCAACAACATTGTAGTTACTCCAGAATACTAACCTAATTGACAGAGTGAAAAGAAGGAAGCCTGTACATAAAAAAATTCCAAAACATGCATCCTGTTTGCAACAAGGCACTAAATTAATACTGCAAAAAATGTGTCAAAGCAATGAACTTTTTGTCCTGAATATAAAGTGTTATGTTTGGGGTAAATCCAATACAACACATTACTGAGTACCACACTCCATATTTTCAAGCATAGTGGTTGCTGCGTCATGTTGTGGGTATGCTTGTAATTGTTAAGGACTGGGGAGTTTTTCAGGATAAAAATTTTACGGAATGGAGCTAAGCACAGGCAAAATCCTAGAAGAAAACCTGGTTCAGACCTGAAAATGGTTGCGTAGCAATTATCAACAACCAATTTGACACAGCTTGAACAATTTTGAAAAGAATAATGGGCAAATATTGCAATCCAGGTGTGGAAAGCTCTTAGAGACCTACCCAGAAAGGGTTGTGAATACTTATGTGAATGAGATATTTCTGTATTTCCTTTTTAATACATTTGCAAACATTTCGAAAAAAACATGTTTCCACTTTGTCATTATGGGGTATTGTGTGTAGATGGGTGAGAATTTTTATTTATTTAATATATTTTTAATTCAGGCTGTAACACAACAAAATGTGGAGTAAGTCAAGGGGTATGAATACTTTCTTAAGGCACTGTAGGTGTCTATGATTAGTTATGGGGCTATGGAGAACGGTCCATGCTATCCACGTTCCTTGGGACATCCCAACTCTGACGTTACCCTATTGAAGATTACATTTTAAATGGTTACGGTAAGGGTTAAGGTTAGAGTTAGGGTTTAGAGTAGGGACGTCCCAAGGATCCCAGATAACATTAACCTATGGAGAACCCATGGCTGATCTCCCACTCACAGGGGTCGAAGAGGACAAGGAACCTGAAGCAGGCGATTGGTCCACCGACCTTAATATAAAGTTAACATTTTCAACAATATTTTCAACCCTTAATTAGGTGAGAATTATTTGTTATGGGGATATCCAGCTCCCCATGGCGGTCCCCTGTAATTGGATGCAGCTCCCCATGGCAGTCCCCTGTACATGCAATTGGATCTCCCACACACCAGGGTTAAAGAGGATGAGGAACTTGAAGCAGGTGATTTCTCTGCGGTCCGCCTGTAGGGTCTGTAGTTTCTCAACTAGCTCCTGTCCTCTCTGTACCAGGCTTGTGAGAGTGGCTCCTGCCTGGGATGCTATGGACGTCAGTTCCACCTAGACCACAACATACACATGCATGAGTTTCAACATAGGAACTTTCCCCAAAAAAGTACTTTCTGGACTCATTAAAGGTAGACTCAGTGATATGCGTTTACCATGAGGAGTGGCGTGACTGACTTCTAACTTCTGTGTGTGTGCGTGCGTGCGTTCGTGCGTGTGTGTGTGTGCGTGTGTGTGATGACGCGTGGTGATCATTGCACTCACCTCCTGCCCTGTGACCAGTAGCACGCTGCCCTCCTTGCCGTGTTGGACTTGCCTGGAGATGAAGTCCAACACCAGCAGCTCGCTCCAGCAGTTGTGAAGCAGCTTCATCTGATCTCCCACCTGATAGAAGAAAGAAGGAACGAACATCCATTCAAACACACGTATTTGGGGTGCGTTCCAGATACACGGATTCCCATGCTTTTGAATCCCCGTGGCATTGCTACATAACAAGCTAACAGACTTCAAATGGTTTGGTTAAAATGACAACAGTCAAAAATGAGCTAAACTTAAAAAAGTGAACTATCCCTTTAACTATCAATTAACTTAATGTCCTTAACCAGAAGTAGTAGTAATGCACCAGTACAAATGTAGGCGTAAACAGTTGTAATGAAAGCCCATGGCCATGGCCAGACTGATATTGTGACGTGAAACAGAGAGAAATTCAGATTAGTTCCCAGGCTACATAGAAAGGTTAACCAAACAATGGCGGGTTTATTCACAGTGAACATGGGGGCAGTGTCACTCTATAAAATAGAGTTTATACAGTATGGTCCAGAAAACCTTTCTGATATGACAAAAGATTATTGTGGTCTGCTTTTTGTGGCGTAGTCAAGCTATGGATTATCCATGATCCATGATCCATGATCCATGATCCACTATCCATGATCCATGATCCATGATCCATGATCCATTATCCACTATCCATTATCCACTATCCATTATCCACTATCCATTATCCATTTTCTGTGCAGAAGTTGCATTTTGGGTAAATGCCACAAACAACTACAAACCCAGAGAACAGCAACACAGTACGGACAAAATCAATTTCATTGCAATGCAGCTTAACAACCAGCCCATCTCATCACATGACGTGAGTGCGAGCATGCTTGTTTGACGAACGTCGACATTATTTGAATATCAGTTAAGTCTTCCATTTTATGGAAATGCACTAGCCAGGGACAAAAACATGTCAACATCACCAAAGATACCTAGATACAGTATATGAACAGAGACCCATAGAGACATGGCCCCATTCAGTCTGGATTTTCTGTTGCCATGGCAAATCGATGGTATTTACCACTAAGTCGTGCTCTGTCCCCGCGAGGTCGGTTTTTCATTTATTTGTTATAGCACAACAAGTTTTTTAACACAAATTCCAGACCGGATTCAATACACACTTCAGGAATTGCACAACAAACCATTGACACACAGTAATGTGAACGCAATAAAATATATATATATATATTTTTTCATTTGGAATACAGTGCACACCATAAAGACTGTTGTCTGTGGCATTCTACTGCTATTCCCCCATCTGCACCTATTGAAAATGTCAAGTACCTCAGAATTTTGATGGATTTTCTTGCTTCTCTCCCAAGCTCCCAGCTTTCACTCGCCCATGGGTGAGTGCGTGAACTATTTGTAACAGTCAATGGTGAATACCACTCTAGCATATAATAAGACGTGTATACAGCCACATTGTAAAGCCACTGAGGTGCCAGTTTAGGCAAAAGTATTGTGAGTGTGGGAAAAAAATATCATCTGAATTAATGAAACATTCATTATTTTGTACTATTAACCAACATACTGAACAACATTCTATATTTTTGTCTTGGCATTGATACACAGCTAAACTAGAGCAGTTGTGCTGAGCGCATATGGTGCAATGCTAATGTTCACCTGGCTCATTCTATTGCTATAGCATGCCATGGTAGCGAGTCATTACACCTGGTAAATGAGGTAGAAGTTCCTTCCGGAAGCCATTCTACTGTGAGGGGATTGACACACACCTGTCCAACACAGACGTAGACACAAAGACCTGGAAACTAACCATCAACACGTGGTGAAGAGAGTCAATAAGCTAATGTATGCCACATCCACCATCGCACACACACACACACACACAAACAGCAAACACAGCTCAGCTTAGTACTGGCATGAAAAACACATGGCAACACATCTCCAGGTATTGTCGATTGTTAGTAGCGTAGCACCAGCATAGCACTGTCGAGTAAGTTTGCATGCACACTAATAATTCCATATTAAACTGATTATGGCAGTAGGGCGAGTATGGCATTAGTCATGTAAACACCTTACTCTGATTATCTTAATCGCCGGGACCACCCATCGCCGGGACCACCCATACGTAAAATTGTATGCGCAAATGACTGTAAGTTGCTTTGGATAAAAGCGTCTGCTAAATGGCATATTATTATTATTATTATTATTATTATAATCGAAGTAAGCATACGTCGATTAAAACATCTAGATTTTTTAGCAATCTTTTGATTTATTAGGACATGTAAACACATGAATCGGAGTTCCAGCAGTGTATTAGGTCTGCGCATGTTCTAGCATGAGCAACGCGAGTCTCTCTCTTTTGTGCCAGTGAATTGAGTTCGGAAAATCTAGAAAAACTTTTCACACGCAAACTCTATATTTCTGAACTCAGATTCAAATAGGCTTCATATTTATAATACAATTATAATTTGGTTAAATATTAATATAATAATATGTGATATAACGTTTATTTTGATTGGCAATTTTCTGCATTGATCAAAGTCCAATCAGGTAGCCTGATTTCAGATGTGTCAAAGTAAACAGTATTATTAGGGAAAACATTCTTCTTGCAAAGCATGTAAATGTTTTAATCAAACTATTATATTAATCTGAGTATTCACAATAATCGTAGTAATGTGTGCATGTAAACATACCTATTGACTGTAATGCTTACATCATTTCAGTATGATAATTGCTATTTCAATCATTGCAAATATTTCCTTTTGTATGTGTGTGCGTGTGCGTGTGCGCGCGCGCGTGCGTGTGTGTGAAGCTACTGGAGGAAGCTTGTGACTAATCTGCAGCCGAACTATGATGCAGATGATGATGATGATTTGTGTGTTCTCAGACGGCGGTGGCCAGAGGTAGACAGAGACAGAGGGAGCATGTCTGGGTGCAGTACAGCAGGATTTTACTGAGCGGGTAGAGAGACTGTTGTGGAATGGTGATTAGGGCTAGTGGATAGGGATATGGTGGGGTTTTGAGACCTACCAGCAAAGCACCATATCCATGCAATTAATTAAATCCATAATATGGACACAGGACACACGTTATATAGTGAGTGACCCCATGATATAGTGATTATGTATGATATAGTGATTATGTACACTGAACAAAAATATAAACGCAACATGTAAAGTGTTGGTCCCATGTTTCATGAGCTGAAATAAAAAATCCCACAAATGTTCCATACGCACAAAAAGCGTATTTCTCTCAAATTTCACAGGTGTGGCATGTCAAGAAGCTGATTAAACAGCATTACCATTACATAGGTGCACCTTGTGTTGGGGACAATAAAGGCCACTTTAAAATGTGCAGTTTTGTCACACAACACAATGCCACAGATGTCACAAGTTTTGAGAGAGCGTGCAATTGGCACACTGACTGCAGGAATGTCCACCAGAGCTGTTGCCAGAGAATGTTATGTTAATTTCTCTACCATAAGATGCCTCCAAGGTCATTTTAGAGAAGGAGTATGTAATAATTTTGTGGGGAAAAACTCATTCTGATTGGCTGGGCCTGGCTCCCCAGCAGGTGGGCCTGGCTGCCAAGTTGGTCGGCCTATGCCCTCCCAGGCCCACACATGGCTGCACCCCTGCCCAGTCATGTGTAATCCATAGATTAGGGCCTAATGAATTTATTTAAATTGACTGATTTCCTTATATGAACTAACTCAGTAAAATCTTTGAAATTGTTCCATGTTGAATTTATATTTTTGTTCAGTTTATTATGTAGTGATTATGTATTATATAGTGATTATGTATTATATAGTAATTCCTTTGTATAGTGGTTGGATAACAAATACCACTATTAAAATGATTTATTAGACATGTATGATGACAACCAGATAATGTGTATATCACACAGCTGATTTAGTAGCTTTCTCTCGTCTTAGATTTAAAACAACTTTCAGAAGTCTAGCTGTAGACTGATAAGAAGAAGAAGAAAATGCCAATTAATGGTCACTTTTAGAAACATTGAAATAGATTTTGTAACGTTTTGACTACACAGAAAGCTGTAAAAATCTCAAATAAAACTTGATATTTTACAAATACTGTCTATCCCTCCACATGGTAAACCCAAACACATTAACTACACACTCTGGAGAACACATTCCACTCTTATCTACTACAAGGAATGCCTTCAGTACCAGCAAAAATAACTGGGGACTTGTTGGCAAATAGTCCTATTATTCATAGTCCACTGGTTTATTGTCCTAGCACTCCACTACAGAAAGCGAAAGTAGACTTTGGCTAGTAGGTTCTTGTGGTGAAGCATTTCACATTACATGAAGGTAGTTTGTGCTTTAACCTCTTATTTTGTGTTATTTACTCTGTATATACTGTATCTACTATATGATATAGGACAACAAAGGCAAAAGGTATTATATGTAAATTAATCTAAAACAATGTAATGTGTTATAAATTGAATACAGTAATATAATTGTTATTGTCTGCTTCAGCCATGAATGGAAAGCAATACCATACCAACATGTTTAACTGACCTTAAGAACAATAAGGCACACTAAACTGTTAACTATTCAAGTATTAATAAACACCCAGACCCTGAAAAATATACATTTTGATCAATCAGCCATTGTACTCCTCTAAACCAAACAATGCTTCCATTGTTGTGAAAATATTGAAAGTAGGGACATGGTATCGCTTTATGCAGCACTTTAAGAGGGTCCACTTCCTTTACATCAGCGTAAAACTCAAGTGTTTTATTTTAGGAGAGATGAACGCGACCTCGACCTAACCAGGTTAAATCACTGCAAGTACACTATTACCATTCATCACTATCACACACACACACGCTCCCACGCACACACACGGACACACACACTGGCACGCACTCACTCACCCCCACACACACACACACACACATGCATGCAGCACACACACACACACACACACATACAGGCCAATGAAACATCCCCCCTAACTCACTCTAAATGAGTTCAGTCAACATCACCGTGAACCTGGGGAGAGGGGATAATAAAATAAAATAAAATGCTGCTTTATAAAATATCTCTTTTCCTGACAACACTGTTCCATTCTGCCTCTCAGGATGGCCAAGAAGGGTTGACTTCATAAAACCTCTTCCAGGTAGGAATGGATGGAGGTCACACTGAAGTGAATAGCGCTGGGAGACATACGAAGAGTAAGATATGGCCTATGGAACCACAGTGAAGAGATTGCCCTTTCCTGGCTCCTCTCCTCACTGCACGCCCACACAGTCCCTACCGCAACTAGCATGCACCCGGGGCTCAAGTAGCTACAACGTGTCAGAGCATCTGTTTGTTCACCGCTGATAGTCGGTAGCCCGAGTCACGCCTGACCAGAATGGGTCTTGAGAAGAGCATTGCGGGAGGGCAGCGGTTGAAGCTAAGTCGATTAGCCGTTCACCTCATGGTAACTTTACACAGAGTGAAAATCGATGGATTAGCCAGTTAGCTTCAATAAACACTCAGAAATAGCGTGCTACAATTCCCTGGTGTGTAAAGAATTCTAAAGTGGGATATGACTTATTAAGGTTATTATAGCATGCCTATTCTGAGGTTGTGTGGAGTTATTTCAGAATATATAGTAAAGTTCAGACCTATCTCATTATGTCTCTATTCTATGTCACCATAGTGACATATACAGTAAGAAATATGTCACAACAAGTGACATATAACCAGTGGTGGAAAAAGTAACCAATTGTCATACTTGAGTAAAAGTAAAGATACCTTAATAGAAAATGACTCAAGTAAAAGTGAAAGTCACCCAGTAAAATACTCCTTGAGTAAAAGTCTAAAAGTATTTGGTTTTAAATATACTTAAGTATCAAAAGTAAAAGGAAAAATAATTTAAAATTCCTTATATTAAGCAAACCAGACGGCAACATTTTCTTGTTATTTTAATTTACGGATAGCCAGGGGCATACTCCAACACTCAGACATAATTTACATATGTGTTTAGAGTACGCCAGAACAGAGGCAGTAGGGATGACCAGGGATGTTCTCTTGATAAGTGTGTTAATTGGACCATTTTCCTGTCCTGCTAAGCATTCTAAATGTAACAAGTACTTTTGGGTGTCAGGGAAAATGTATGGAATAAAAAGTACATTTATTTTCTTTAGGAATGTAGTGAAGTAAAAGTCAAAGTTGTCAAAAAGATCAATAGTAAAGTACAGATACCCCCCAAAAACGACTTAAGTAGTACTTTAAAGTATTTTTACTTAAGTACTTCACACCACTGCATATAACTACAATGGTTAAATGTCACAATTTTTTACATATTCATGGGAGACCATGTTGCAAAGTTCCATGTAGGTGGCTACTGTAATGCTAAGGCTAACTTGTTGATGCTGCTTGGTGAAATACCCCCTGGGCTGTGTGTGATGAGAAAAAAAGCTGTCACTCTGCTCTCTCAATTGTCATGGGTGCGGATGTGCTTCCTTGATTCCACCTGTCATCGTCTTTTCATCATGGTGGACACCTCTGCAGTAGGAAGTCCCAAATAAACAGCGGAATAATGTGTGAGAGATGTGTGCGTGGCTGTCCACATGTAAAATGGTAAATGTTGACAGTGTATGTGTGTGTATGTGCAAATGTGGGTGCGCTTGTGTGTGTGTGTATCCCAATGTTATTGCATTGGCGATTTCCACTCAGTTCAGCAATTGGAATTGGTTATCATTTTCATTGTTGAGTTTTTCCCAATTCATCACTTGAATTTCAATTAACTTCCTGATATATGGAACTGACCCCAACAAACACAAACATACAATAACATATGTCATATGCCTGGGGATAATACAACATTATGTATCCACCATTTTATGATTCTCGCAGGGCCCACTCAGGCGAATAATCAATATTAGACTACGGGCTCTGCAAAATGTGAAACCTTTAAACCAGAAAGGGCCTTTGTCAGCCTTACCTGTACAAAAGGTCCTACCTGTAAGCCTGACGAAGATCTTTGTGGTTGAAACATTGCTAATAAAACTACAGGAGCATCAAAACAGTGGGAAGGTTTTTTTGTCTTATTTTCACATGGCATTTTGTACTCTGTGAGGTTTGTTGGATGTCTAAAACACCTTTGTACTAATAGATTCCTTTTTCTTGAAAAAAGTGTAAAGAAGAATGGGCGGCATATAATCTACAGTCTAAACCATCTCTGAGGAATTTTAAGATTTCCAAACAATTAACAACTTTGGTTGGTATGACAACAAAGTATTGACTTCCCTACCTTGAGCTCCTTGAAGAAGATGCAGCCTCGGGCCCACTCCACGATGGAGAAGAGCGTCTGGTCGGCCATGTGACACATGAGGCTGAAGGTGCTGAGTCTCTCCTGACCCTTGCCCCCCCGGCCACTCTGCTCCTGCTGAAGGTGAGCAGCGATCTTACTCTGCACCTGCAGCTCGTCCGGGTCACAGCGCATAAACTCCAGCACCAGCTGAGGCACCCCAGGCACCTGCGGAGAGCCCGATCCAGAGTAGACCTGCTCCGGGTAGATGTAGCTGCCCACTACCGAGTCTGGGGAGCTTGTGTAGTGTTCCGGGTACTCGGACTTGATCGCCCGGCTGGGGAAGGAGGCGTACTGGTACTGGGGGGGTAAGGGTGCATGGGGGGGGAGTCCAGGCATGGCCATGCCAAGTGAGGGGGGTCCATAGAGGCAGCGGTCGTAGTCTGTGGGGGCGATGGGGATGGGGGTGGTGGTGGTGTGGAGGATGCCCTTGGGGAGCGGGTGGAGGCCCGGGAGGCTGCCGGTGAAGGTGTAGTCTGTCTGGGTGTCAGGGGAGAGCATCGGAGGGGTGGTCTCCATCTTGAGGCCGGTGGCTCGAATCAACGCTTTCTTCTGCTGCTTGAGGGCTCGGTCACGCTTGTACATGGGGCCAAACTTATTCCGGCCTCCTCGCATGCGATCGGCACGGACAGCTGATGGAATCGAACACCATTACTGTTATTCAATTAATTGCTAACATTCACTAAGTTAGCATGTGAGAGTTCTTGGTGCAGCAATCAAAATGTAAACCAAAAATACACTAATAGAGCAATCATTTTGTAGATTTAATGTATATATCTGAAGATATGGATTAAATCCATTGTAAAGTAAATTTCATTTCTACGGATAAACAAAAATGTTAGTTCTTGTTTTGTTATTATTCTGAATCCCAAAATAACATAAATTGCATTTACATAGCTTACATTCAAGCTTGTTGTCTCATAATGATTTAATGACATATCATGAATAACCTCATCCAAAACTCTTCTAATTACGCAATAATATTAGAAAACGTACTATTCATACATATTTTATCAAAGGATACTGAAATAGTTTACCTGGAGCTAGATATTTTTTATCGAAATTCCTTAGATAATATGCCAATGTTGATACAGCAATTAAAACCCAACCATTGACAAAAAGATATATGCAACAACTGACAAACTATACTTATAATATAGTTTTCTCATGTTTCACTAATTAGAGACGAATATTTAACGACACCTATTTGAGAATAAGCCTACCAACAGTCAGACTATAATGCAGCCTATACAGGCCTACTGTTGTATAAGAAAATATATCACCAACCCAAAGAGATAGATATGCAATTTCATCGAACAGATATCAAACTTGATCAATTCTGATGTATAGCCCCCAAAAAATATTCTACAAATATAATAATTTTAAAATCTGACAACATTCCATGTTAAACCAAAATACCTTAGAAATTATCTAAATTAATCAAATAAAAATGATTTTACCTTCTAATCGCATTCCAACATTCAGGCATTTCTGAAACCGACAAAATGGACACCGTTTCCTCTGAGTTTTGTCAATTTTACAATCCTGGTTTTCTGCACAAGTATACCTCTTATTATTTTGAACCGTTCTTTTGAAGAAACCCTGTGTGAGAGAGTTCATATAGACATGCCTATTAACAAAATAGCCAAGTTAAGATCATCATCAATGCTGCAATAAAATGAATACAAACGAAAATAATAGACATTAATTTGTATTAATACAAATGATAACGAATTTCTTGATGGATTTAGACATCTCATCTTGACGTAAATAAAAAGATAGGTCTATATTATAGCCTATGAAAGCCTCTATAAAAATAAATGATTGCGTCTTTTGCAGCCTACCTTGCAGCTTTCACACGTAAGTAGTCCATAGTGGTATCCCGACACCTTATCGCCACAAACAGGACATAGCTCTTCCAAATCGACATCATAAGTGTACTCCATTCCGGTCAATGGAACACCTGGGAATGCACATGCCGGTGAGCAACAGGTAGCTTACAAATAAATCACTGTATCACCAGCGATTCTGTCTTACTTTTAGGCCTATCAATTGTGTGTATTTCCACTAATAGGCCTAAATATTGAAAATATTGTCACATTTCATTCAAATGAACAGCATTTTAATGCTTGTATTTTGGATGTGTGTAGGCTATGTGCATAAACAGAATTCTCGGCAAACATGTAGCCTATCCTATTTCAAAAGAGAAGGCATATTAAACCCTAATTACAATCTTGAATAAATCAAAGCGCAGGTATGCATATTCGATAGCAATCTAATTTTGTAAGGATTATTTTATATCCCCAATAATCTGATGCATCAGAAATAGGCTTCGTATTTTGACATTAGGTCTACGAAATTACGCACCGAAATAACGCACATTTAGCAAAGCTACATCATTTATGAACATGCATATTTTCAATTGACCAATAAAACAAATACTTTACAAGCATTAACATAATTGTTTTATATCACAGCACTAAATTAAAAGTTCATTGTTGAATGATGACATTCGGAAACCCGCAAAAGTAGTCTACGTAAGCAGGCCATACCTGTTGGATCCCCAGCGTTATCTTGGCTAGAACGGTTGTATTCGGTGTCCGTTCTCCTCTTAGCTAAAACGGTAGTAGGCTATACGGTGTCAGTTTGGATATGCATCCACGGAGAAACGACTTCGAAACATGCGCTATGGCTCTAACTTTATGAAAAGAATAGGCATACCCCGCAGGAATGATGGAGGAGGGATGGAGGAAGAAGGAGCAGTGGGCAGCTCCCTACACTAACTGACCTTGCCTGATCGAGACCTACCATGTGCATGCCCACGGACAGACATACCCTCCTCATATTTACAGATTGTGAGGGTGGATCTGATTGGAAGGCATGTCACGCTGGTGAGGTAAGCGACGGCAGACACCTCCTATCTGCTTGGCTAAGGTAGGTCTATAGAGTGACTAACATGTGGAGGGTGGACACGCTATAGATAAGTATTAGTGACTTCATAAAATTATCATGATTTTAGATTATACTTTAATCGTAAACTAACCAATATCACAAGAACCTTAGGCTACTTACTGTTTTTGCCACTAAAATAACTAAAACTAGCATAACTAAAATAGGCCTACTTATATAACGCTATTTGGTAATAGGCCTCCTGTCTTTTGTGGCCTCATATTTTGCATGCCAAACCAATAAAAATATATACCGTTGTATTACTGTCGAATAGTATAGGCCTACAATATGAATAAATAATCACTTATCATCCGTCTTTGCTGAAATAAAATGTAAAATGTAAATAACGCATTAAGGGAAGTCTCTGATACTGATTTGCCTGTGCAATATAGACCGCACACTGAACATAATGGGGGATGCAGCAATTTGGAGCCAGATCACACCATGCAGGCCTACTTAACCCATTATTATTATTAAAATGCAGCCACTTTGCACATGATTAATAGCTGAAAATACTTACTTGGGAACTTCAGGTGGTACATTTCCTGATGTTGTTTAGACTTATTCAATAAGCATGATATATGTGCTGCTCAGACATGAACAAAACAAACAAAGCAACAACTTTACTTTTCGAGTTGGATTAAAAATGAGCGAGCGCTCAAGTCTAGATAAATACGTTTCTTCTGCTTCTCCGGTTCAGCGTGGATACATTTTGATTGGACTCCGTGCTCATGTGACATTGACATTGCAATAACGCTTTTGTTTTTTTCTTCTTACGGTGACCTCATGGATAAGCTTTCAAATAATGTTAAAAACTGTTTTCACAACTGCAACTTTCTCTATAGCCTATTATTTCAACTGTGATAGAAAATATTACTTGGCTAAATAGCCTAAATCCTATTCAATTCAAAGGACTTTCTGTCAAGGGCACACACACTAATTAACGAGAAAATAAGATATCAGATTGACTGTACCTTGTGCTTTTCAACTCAACATACAAAAGTATAATTTTTTTTTTAAAACATTCCATAAATTAATTCCATAATTTTCAGTCTTGAATTACAATTAATGTTAGCCTATACCCCAGAATGTTGAGTGATACTAGGCCTAATTATATTATAACATGTTTTGGCATATAGGAGTACATTTAGTACATGCTTATAAACGGTTGATGCACATATTATGTCTGACTCTGGCTTTAATTAATAGTCTACGTAGAGATACTAGCTCACTCCTTATCATGTATTTATGGTGTATTTTGTCATAACTTGCGTATGCCCGACTAAGTCCTTGGATACTGATGTGCTTTATCTTGGCCAGGTCGCAGTTGTAAATGAGAACTTGTTCTCAACTGGTTTACCTGGTTAAATAAAGGTTAAAAAAAAAAAAAAAAAAAAAAAAAGAAAACTGGAACATTTCAGAAATGACATTCCGAAATATTTGCCAGCAATATTATGCATAGCCTCCTCACCTAGAAATGGTAATGTTCGTATATTTCTCATACTAATGGTGACAGAATTTTTTTTTATTGTGTTACATATAGTCCTCGTAAACTGGATATCAGCGTCGGTGATGAGCTTAATAATGTCCTTGGGTAAAATTGAATCCACATTCAACCAATGTGTATAGCCCACTAGGATTACAGGCACCAATCAATTACTATAGTCTATTTGGCCTATATCTCTTTGCAGAGGAGCACAAAAGGATTTCGGGAATAATGAAACATATAATGACGAAATAGATGAGACTTGAACAGTGATTTCTCAGCGCTGTCTAACGTACATTTTTTACATGGATGTCTCAAGTCATAAACTATGGACATACTGTAATAAATGTATTATAAGTGAAACGTTAACCTAAACTAGATGGCTTAAAACAACAGTCTAAACATCTCAATGCAGCAAAGTGCACCATACAATGCCACATTTTAGTGATGGAACGGTATGCGCACCTCAATCTGTTGCTGCATAGATGCATTCATACAATACGAAGAGGCTCCATATGGCAGTATTCCCAGCTCTTTGTACATCATCAACAGAGGTGTGCTCAACACACACACACACACACACACACACACACACACACACACACACACACACACACACACACACACACACACACACACACACACACACACACACACACACAGTGAGTGCAGAATCATGTGCATAAATCAATTAGCCTAGCAGATTGTCCCTAACATTTTTGATAATTTTAGGATTATTGTTGTTCCTCATTGATGTTCCTTATTTATATTAAGAGCCGTGAATGTGATTATTGGTTATTGGTAAATAATAATAATAATACATTATATATTGAATTTATTATACTATCATTTATTCATTTATTAATAATATTAGGCCTATTATTGTAAATTCATTATTTACACTGTCTTTATTAAGGTTGTTCATCTTTGTTGTCCTCAAAGAGGAAATAAAATCAATCGGACCTTTACCTTAACGTCTGAGGTTTAGAGAGGGGTCTGCAAAAACAAAAACACATGTGCACGCATTGTGAGTATAGGAGGGTGGAGCAAGACATATAGCCATTTGGACGACCCTCCCTATCTATAAATCAGAGAAAATAGATAATCTGGTGTTTATATTTTGGGATGGATTTTGTTTTGTGACTGTGCTGTGGCTACAGCTCCGGCCGGACAGGCCGCAGACACGCTCTGTCTCTCTGCCAGAGACGTATTTGTAAAATAAATAAAGAAGAGATTTGTGGCTGGGCCAATGTTTAGACTTCGTATTTTTTTGCGTTTATGCCATCCTCAGCTTTTCTTTTCGTGTCACTGTCGAAAGAGGGGGAGCACAGTAACATGTATTATTATAGCCTGTAGATGCTGACGAATAGGCTACCTTAGTGAGTGTAGGTGTCATAGTTATCTGGATATTGAAGTCAATTGCAAACCAAACACCACATGTAGCCTAAAGCCTAGTCATTTGCATATTCAACAAGTTCGTGTAATAAAGCTACAGCCGACGTCTTAACTGACAGACTTGTCCTCAAATCATGTCAGTCAATTTGTGCCAGGGCTGTCTGAAGAACAACACTGCCGTTATTGTTAGCCCTCTATGCCATGCAAGGTAATAGGAACATTTAACAGCCGTCTAAGGCATAATGTTCCTTCAGTGAACTTCGCTTTGTGCCCAGCAACAGAGAGACTAATAGAGGTTTTGACAAGGTCAACCTCTGTTGTACACCTTTGAATAAGCTACGTAGATTTTCTTCTCTCTTGAGTAGGCTAGGCCCTGTGGTTATTCTGACTGATCAATCTATCCAGGCCTAGCCTACATAAGAGTGGAGAAATATGACACAGAGGTCAAATAAACGTCTATTCCATGTTGGTTCAACATAATTTCATTGAAATGGCGTGGAAACAATGTTGATTCAACCAGTGTGTGCCCAGTGGGGTGGCCTTATATAGGCCTGTCCTGTGTTTGTACTGTACAGTGCATTCGGAAAGTATTCAGACCCCTTGTCTTTTTCCACATTTTGTTACCTTACAGCCTTATACTAAAATTGATTAAATATTATTTTCCTCATCAATCTACACACAATACGCCATAATGACACATTTTAGCTAATTTATTAAAAATAAAAAACATAAATACCTTATTTACATAAGTATTCAGACCCTTTGCTCTGAGACTCGAAATTGAGCTCAGGTGCATCCTGTTTCCATTGATCATCCTTGAGATGTTTCTACAAATTGATTGGAGTCCACCTGTGGTAAATTCAATTGATTGGAAATGATTTGGAAAGGCACACACCTGTCTATATAAGGTCCCACAGTTGACAGTGCATGTCAGAGCAAAAACCAAGCCATGAGGTCGAAGGAATTGGCCGTAGAGCTCAGAGACAGGATTGTGTCGAGGCACAGATCTGGGGAAGTGAACCAAAACATTTCTGCAGCATTGAAGGTTATCAAGAACACAGTGGCCTCCATTCTTAAATGGAAGAAGTTTGGAACCACCAAGACTCTTCCTAGAGC